CCTCCCTCTTCTCTTGCCGTTTCCTCCTCCTCTCTCCTCCTCTTGCTCGGCCTTGTGTCAGCCATGCCGCCTTTTCCCGCTCTTCTGCTCATCGCCTCTACAGTACAACGGTTGAAAGAATCGTTCATCGGGATAGGGGGTGGGGTGGGTAGTGGAGGTATGGTCACCGGTAGTGCAACCGCCGGGCAGGCCCCGGCCCGACTGGCCGGGCCCGGTCCGATCGGCATCAGGCCCCGGGCCCGGCGTTAGTTACTGTTATTCAACTTGAACTACCAGGCAACGCCGAGCCTACAGCCCTCCCCTTCTACCTTTTGTCGTAATGCTCAACTTCAGTGTCTACTGAGCGTCATGCTGTCCTCAGTAGCTTCGCGTGATGCCGGGCTATGTGGTAGCCGCAATCCGATCGTCATTGGAAAAATATCAAACATGAAGATGTCGAGTATAAATTAAGCAAAGAATTCGACGTTACATGTTGCTCTCAACAAAACATCCAAATCTCTTCTCTGATCCAGGAGCCAAGACTATTTTCCCTTCACCAAGTTCTATCAGCATGCCTCAAGCGCGTACCGCACTCTATGCAGATATACCCGAAACTGCAACAACATCTCTGGAAGGTCTCAGAGTCTGATCTAGCTGACTGAGGGTATGGCACCTGGCCCACCTGCCATACCGGCCCACCTGCCATACCGGGCCCATAGCCTGAATGAGAGGGAAACAGCAGCGAAAGGGGGACCGAACAAGGTGTTGGGTATCGTCAAGATGATGTGTTGGATATTTGTCGGATACATCTAGCTTCAAGTGAGATAGAAAATAGTCTACTTGTTTACAGGGAAGTTGTGATGACTCTCATTTGGCCATCTAGATATTTTGATGAGAGTTTCTCTGTACTTGTGTAGCTCTCCTTGTAAGACTTTGACGATACTATCGAGGTGAAGAGTGAGCCTTTACTCAAAGTTAAGTTAAAATCAGTACGAGGAGTAGTGATTGTTTCGTACAAATATAAGTCAATTTCTTTTTTTCTTCTCCAAATATTTTGGAGAACTCAACTATAGGCCCTAAGGGCCCTAAGGGCCCTAAGGCCCTAAGGAAAGGCCTTAGGGCCCTTAGGGCCGTTTCCCGCCGGCCTTACTAGGCCGTAACGGCCCTAAGGGCCCTTACTGACCGCCGGGCCGAGTCAGCTCAGTGATCTCAGTGACGGTGAACAAGCCCAGGCCCGTGAGCCCACCTAGTTCAGCTGCCCGTATCCCCAGCTGCTCTCAAGTCAGCTCACTCTAGTGGACGCAGCGCTCGACGTGGGACAGCACCCTGGCCGTGCGCATCACCCTGACAGACATCCCGGCCTCGATCGACGGCACATCAGTCATCCCAGGCTTCTGTTATGACAAGAGCAAGCAGTCCACCAAGTCCTAGTCTTCATCGCATGCGCCCCCCTCCCCCCCCCGCCCCCCCGCATCCCTTGCATACCGATCGTACCCCGCCCGTGCTCGCATATGCTCCTGCCCCCGCAGTCCTTGCATACCGATCGTACCCGCCCGTGCTCGCATATGCTCCCTCCCCCGCAGTCCTTGCATACCGATCGCCGTCGCCCGTGCTCGCATATGCTCCTTCCCCCGCATCCCTTGCATACCGATCGCTCCCGCCCGTGCTCGCATATGCTTCTGCCCCCGCAGTCCTTGCATACCGATCGTACCCGCCCGTGCTCGCATATGCTCCCTCCCCCGCAGTCCATGCATGTCGATCGCTGCCACCCGTGCTCGCATATGCCGCTGCCCCCGCATCCCTTGCATGACGATCCGTGATCGTGACCGCCCGTGCTCGCATAGCTTTCTTCGTATCCCTCTCTCCCCTGTCTTTCCTCTTCCTCCCTCTTCTCTTGCCGTTTCCTCCTCCTCTCTCCTCCTCTTGCTCGGCCTTGTGTCAGCCATGCCGCCTTTTCCCGCTCTTCTGCTCATCGCCCTCATACACTGAGTTTTGACCAATCACTGAATTGGGGTAACAGTACCCTCTACAGTACAACGGTTGAAAGAATCGTTCATCGGGATAGGGGGTGGGGTGACGGTAGTGGAGGTATGGTCACCGGTAGTGCAACCGCCGGGCAGGCCCCGGCCCGACTGGCCGGGCCCGGTCCGATGTTATTCAACTTGAACTACCAGGCAACGCCGAGCCTACAGCCCTCCCCTTCTACCTTTTGTCGTAATGCTCAACTTCAGTGTCTACTGAGCGTCATGCTGTCCTCAGTAGCTTCGCGTGATGCCGGGCTATGTGGTAGCCGCAATCCGATCGTCATTGGAAAAATATCAAACATGAAGATGTCGAGTATAAATTAAGCAAAGAATTCGACGTTACATGTTGCTCTCAACAAAACATCCAAATCTCTTCTCTGATCCAGGAGCCAAGACTATTTTCCCTTCACCAAGTTCTATCAGCATGCCTCAAGCGCGTACCGCACTCTATGCAGATATACCCGGAACTGCCACCACATCTCTGGAAGGTCTCAGAGTCTGATCTAGCTGACTGAGGGTATGGCACCTGGCCCACCTGCCGTACCGGCCCACCTGCCATACCGGGCCCATAGCCTGAATGAGAGGGAAACAGCAGCGAAAGGGGGACCGAACAAGGTGTTGGGTATCGTCAAGATGATGTGTTGGATATTTGTCGGATACATCTAGCTTCAAGTGAGCCTAGAAAATAGTCTACTTGTTTACAGGGAAGTTGTGATGACTCTCATTTGGCCATCTAGATATTTTGATGAGAGTTTCTCTGTACTTGTGTAGCTCTCCTTGTAAGACTTTGACGATACTATCGAGGTGAAGAGTGAGCCTTTACTCAAAGTTAAGTTAAAATCAGTACGAGGAGTAGTGATTGTTTCGTACAAATATAAGTCAATTTCTTTTTTTCTTCTCCAAATATTTTGGAGAACTCAACTATAGGCCCTAAGGGCCTTAAGGGCCCTAAGGCCCTAAGGAAAGGCCTTAGGGCCCTTAGGGCCGTTTCCCGCCGGCCTTACTAGGCCGTAACGGCCCTAAGGGCCCTTACTGACCGCCGGGCCGAGTCAGCTCAGTGATCTCAGTGACGGTGAACAAGCCCAGGCCCGTGAGCCCACCTAGTTCAGCTGCCCGTATCCCCAGCTGCTCTCAAGTCAGCTCACTCTAGTGGACGCAGCACTCGACGTGGGACAGCACCCTGGCCGTGCGCATCACCCTGACAGACATCCCGGCCTCGATCGACGGCACATCAGTCATCCCAGGCTTCTGTTATGACAAGAGCAAGCACTCCACCAAGTCCTAGTCTTCATCGCATGCGCCCCCCTCCCCCCCCCGCCCCCCCGCATCCCTTGCATGACGATCGTACCCGCCCGTGCTCGCATATGCTCCCTCCCCCGCAGCCCTTGCATACCGATCGTACCCGCCCGTGCTCGCATATGCTCCCTCCCCCGCAGTCCTTGCATACCGATCGTAGCCGCCCGTGCTCGCATATGCTCCCTCCCCCGCATCCCTTGCATACCGATCGCTCCCGTCCGTGCTCGCATATGGCGCTGCCCCCGCATCCCTTGCATACCGATCGTACCCGTCCGTGCTCGCATATGCTCCCCCCCCCGCAGTCCTTGCATACCGATCGCTCCCGCCCGTGCTCGCATATGCTCCTGCCCCCGCAGTCCTTGCATACCGATTGCCGCCGCCCGTGCTCGCATATGCCCCTGCCCCCCCGCATCCCTTGCATTTCGATCGCTGCCGCCCGTGCTCGCATATGCCGCTGCCCCCGCACTCCTTGCATACCGATCGCCGTCGCCCGTGCTCGCATATGGCGCTGCCCCCGCATCCCTTGCATACCGATCGTACCCGCCCGTGCTCGCATATGCTCCCTCCCCCGCATCCCATGCATGTCGATCGCTGCCACCCGTGCTCGCATATGCCGCTGCCCCCGCATCCCTTGCATGACGATCCGTGATCGTGACCGCCCGTGCTCGCATAGCTTTCTTCGTATCCCTCTCTCCCCTGTCTTTCCTCTTCCTCCCTCTTCTCTTGCCGTTTCCTCCTCCTCTCTCCTCCTCTTGCTCGGCCTTG